CATTTAAACTACTGCAAAACTTCGGCGTGGTCAAAATCAAACACTGCACATAACTCTGAACACATCATCTGTCAAACATGGCTGTGGTAGCATCATGCTGCACCGATAAGAAAGTTAGACAGCGTTTATAAATGTAGCAAAACATCTATCAGAGAGGAAAAGCTGTTAGAAACTGTAACAGAGGGTTATCATTAAGAAGTATGGTGACCTTGAACATCCAGCAAGAACTGCAAAAGAATGCCTTAAATTGGAGGTCTTCGACAGGGGGTACTGCATGGGGGTCGCAAAAGTTTTGGTTGATTAGACCTTTTTTTTTTTTTTTTTTAAGTGAAATCTCTTTAAATACAAATTAACATGAATTCAACACACTGTATGAAACAGATAAATTGAGGCAGAAGATGTCTTTCAGTCATCAATGCACACATTCAGAGACACACAGGAGCTCTTTCAAGCTGGGCACTGTTTCATTCACAACACCTGTCCCATCAACGAGGAATCAGAAAAACTTTAATAAAACCAGGGCGAAATTACTTTCATTAAATGACTCCATCTGTAATAGAGAGACTATAGGACCAGTTTGGTTATTTAAGGGGTCTTCGCTGCTTCTCGTCAACAGTTTGGGGGTCCTTGGCCTGGAAAACTTTGAAGACCCCTGCTTTAAATCATACATAGAAAAGTCTGTGTTCGATGTTGGAAAGTTATGTTCATATCATTCATATATATCTTTATCCAAGAGAACAGGCTGAAATATACAGATATGATTAAAGCTTAAAGGTGTAAATACAAGGAAAAGGCATATTATTAACCAAATAAGGAGGACTAAAGAGATATGTATGCTTGGTTTGTATTTTATTTTAAGCAGAAGTGTTTGGGAAATGTTTAAATAAGTCTGTATTAGGAAAGAAAACTCATTAAATGATGAAGTCCCCTGTTTCACATTAGTATTCTGCTTTGCACTGCCCTATAATAGGGTGTAAATGAAAAAGGAATAGTTAAAAAAAAGTTTAATAGTTGTGTATTATTGTGTCAGATACAGAGCTGTTTCTGAATTATTAGAATCTTTAAAGATGTGTTGATACACCAATGAAAAATAACGATATAAGAAGCCTGTTTGCTACAACATAAACTCAAACCAATGCTTCACATATTTATTAGTGTTTTAAATAAATATTGTGAATGGGAATAGTTGAGGGTTGACTTAAGGAGGCAGGGTACTGATGCTGGACAGGTAGGATGTTTTCGTCCCTGCTCCTCTCTCAGTCTCTTATAAACCCGTCTGCTAGCATTAGCTTCTACAGCGACCAAAATGTGCCGATTACCAAAGCGTCCGAGACACCAGGAGCACATACAGGGGTCAAAAACACGGATGAATGGGCGTCTGTGGTTTCCTCTCTGTCTTTTACAAGCTTCCATTCAGTCTACCGGACTCCCTCAATCTCATCAACAAACCGGACCAAACCAAAGCAACGTGCCACAATAACCACTGCCCGACAACGTTCAGACACAGGTTAGGCCGCAATGCTGTTTCGGTTGGTCTACGTCTCAATTTTCGGCAAAAATACCCTGAAATAACCATCCCAACCACCACCTCGACTCTCATAGTAATAAATTCGGGGTGCTAAATTTACCTTTGCATCGACACACATGGCTTTCTCCGTCTCACAACACTGTACGATTACAGGAAACGGCCAGGGAAGAGCAGGAACTAACTTCTTGCTAGAGAGAGCGCAGAAAGAGAGCCTATTCTGCTGCCGCTGAGTGATGATTGGTCAGTTTTCTCCCGGCCGGCGACAGACGGTGTTTTCATTGGCTCGGCTGAGTATCAGTCATTTCTACTCTCTCAAAAATGGGCGGGATGAGATCCTGTAGTTTGGTTGACAAAACAATAAATGCGGCCTAGCTAAGATCATTTGACTCGGTGATCTTCATCATTGCAGCCTTACAGCAGATGATACCCTCAGCTCATATAGTCGCTTCCGGAGTTTACTTTAAAAATTCAACGTAGTTTAATGTTTGAATTAACTATTCAAGACGTGTTTCTATTTGAATGAATTATTTTTTTAGCGTTTTATTAGACTGGTCCCAAGTCAGGAATAAGCCCTCATCACATGCATGCAGACCCCTTCTTTTTGTGTTTCGGTTTAATATTTTTATACCTTTAAGTGCAGACTACGTGATTATCCATTGCATCCTGTTCTGTTTATCGCTTCTAAATTAGATATTTCAAGCTTTGATGATGTTCTCCGCGCGTCCAGAGCCGATTCAAGCATCCAATGTGGAGTTTTGGCGCCCTCTAGTGCTGTCATGCAGAACACTTATTTTTTAGAATTTCTACTACGAGAGAAGGGTCAAATTATGTGACAATCCTTAAATCAATCTTTTTTTTGTGATTTGTTTCTATGTAGTAAAATGAAATGGTATCATGTTTATCCAAAATTTCAATAGGTCGTTATAATGAGATGATAAACTCATAAACAAAAATATCAATATTTGAGCTCTCATGCACTATTATTGTGTGCAGTAATGCTCCACTAGTTGAGAAATGGAATTTTATCGATCAGGATTTTTTAAATGTTTACATGACTCAGGACACATCAAAACCACTTTTTTCTTCTCATCGCAGTCTTGATCCAGATAGTTCCAGAGCACATTTATCAATTTATAAAATAATTTCACTGATTTCCTTACTATTTAAGATTTAAATCTGGACCACAGAATGTAAATGTTTTCAATTTATTTTTAAATTTTTTGTTTAGTTTTTTTGTAGTGAATTTCATGCCTTGCTGTCCTTTTCAACACCACATCGATATCTAATGTCTCCATTTAATATCTTTGCAAATAACTCACACTTGCCTGTTGTTTTTCCTGGGCAAGCTCTGCACTCGCCAAACCAAACTATGGTTTGATAAATGGCTGATTTGGTTGCAGTCTTAGTAATGGTTTATCTGCATGTTAAGAGCTTTTAATGCAAAGCAAATAACAATAGTAAAAAAAAAAAGAAGAATAGCATAAAATCCCTTTAAAGAAACAGTTTTCCTCTTCTAATTTAATCAATACTGACAGCTGCTCTTTTTCCCATTAACCTGTTTACCCTTACCTAACCATCAGATTTTTGGAAATAAGGCAGCATTTTGCTCATTCTGTTGCAGGACACAGTTTTTATGGTTTTGTTAAATTATAGTTATTTCGACAAACTGACTTAAGTGTTGTGATATTTAATGTGAAATTATTTAGTCAACAGATCTACTTTAATAGTCTCCAACAATTATGTTTTTGATCAAGCAACCTGCTCAAAGATTTTGGGGTATGCATTCTTCTTTTACAGATGGACACATTTCTAGAAATTGTAATATTCAGGATACAATTTTTGTTGAAACAACAAAACCGAACAAATGTTTAAAAAACAAAATAGCATTTGTAAAAGAAATGTCTTTGCGTGAAGCCCTAAAAAAATAGCTCCAGCCCATGCAACCACATAGCTCTACATTTATTCCTACATGTGTGACAGTTTTAATAGGAACACGTGGAAGGGGAACAAATAGAGAAACAGAGTGAGGTGGTTCTGAACCAGAGAAGCGTAAATGATAATGTGTGACAGTGGGCCACATATTATCCATGGAAGTCCTGCAGGGATGAGCCGACAGGCACGCCAAAGCCTCCATCTGTCCATGTCTCTGCAAGGAGTATCCGCCACACTCGGCACTTATACCGAGTCCCATGCTGGTGTGCCTGGTCCAAGCCAAAGCTAGCCCGGCTGGTGGGAGCTAAATTTACAAACCGCTGCCGTGGAATTGGGTAGCACTAAAAGGGCATGAGAAAATCTGCTTTGCATTTGGAGATTAAACCGTCCCACTTGCAGGTGATTGATAAGATATATTTCTGTATACAAATACACACTCTGCACAACTCAGGCCATTTAACTTCTTTTATATTTGTTCTTCATATAAATCTCTTAATAAACAGACCTTTTTGTATGATTGCTGACGTGTAAACAGAGGCAAAAGACTCATACAGTCAATTCAAACAAAACACTTTTTCTCAAGCTGGACAGGGTATTTGGAGCACAGCTGTTTACATAAAAATCTGGAAATGAAACATAAATTAAGGCCTGACAGTATATCAGCACAGAAGCACACGGCGCACATTAATACTTCATTACAATCATTATAGTTTTCAACTAAATATTTTGCAAAAGGACAGAACAAATAAAATATTTTCATAGATATTTTGCAGCTTTTTATCTTAGCTTTCTATGTATAGATCTCTTCAATTCTGAGGCCTCAAAATCTGATGAGCAGTGCCTTGTAAAAGCATGCACCCTGAACTTTTACATATCATTTAAGTTTATAACAATGAACCTTAGTGCATAATTGGAAAAAAATGTTGAGAAATTAGTTTTAAAAAATGCTACTTGCATTTGTATTGAACTCTACTTATTCTAATTCCTTTAAATGAAAACCAATACAAAAAAAGCCTGCAGAAGTTAAGTTGTTAGATAACATAATCTATCTAGCTGTTGTTCTGTGGTTTGTTAGAGAACTTAAATAAAGAAACACAGTAAAAAAGTTTAGGCAAACATTAGGTAAGATTTACGCTTGTTTAAGTTTTAAAATAACCATCAACCATGCACAACTCCAAACTGGATTTTATGTAACAGAAGCTTAAAAAAAGTAATAAGAAGCTGTGGGAAACTGTTTGCAGCGACTCTTATAGGCGACATTGAAAGCCTGCAGAGGAAGTAGCTCTGGTCAGATGAGAACAACATTGTGCTTTTTAGCCTGTACATGCACTGCAAAAACAAATGTAGCAATGGTGAAAAATAGTGTTGGCGGCATCATGCTGTGTTTGCTTTTCTTCGGGCAGAACAAGGTAGCTGCAGAGAGTGGCTGCGAAAACACATGAATGCGGATACAGGGAAATCCTGAAAGAAAAGCAGCTGCAGGCTGCAACAGACTGATTACTCAAAGTCAGACATAAAACCATGTGAAAAATCGGTGGCATGCTTTCAAACTAATGGACACAAATGATCTCCGTCCAGCATAACCAAGCTTGAAGTATTTTTTTAAAAAGAAGACTAAGTTTTAGGTTCAAGATTTGGAAATCTGTTGGAGATGTTCCCTAAAACGATCTGCAGCTGCGGTGAAAAGTTATCACATTTTAAAGAAGTTCAAGGGATTTTAAATACTTTTGCTAAACACCGTGACTCCCCTCAATCACAACTTTTTTGTTAATAAATATCTTAAATTTGCAACTTTTTCACAAGGGAAAGACCAGAAACCCGGAGAAGGTGGAGTACTTCCAACCCCCCATCAGGTTCCCCCTCTCCAGTCTGAGGTAGGCCTTGTCTCCCTTCTCCAGAATCACCAGGCCTGCGTTGGTAGCCGCCTCTCTGGTCACGTCTTGGTCCCCTGCAAAGGCTGAAATCATCGGCCATCCGTTCACCATCAGACTGACCTAAGAGACATTAAACACATAGATCGGACCACATGAATCAGCTGGAAGGTCAACTGCAACTGATTTAATTGAAGTAAAACAATACCTGAATAGTCTGTCTGTTGTAGGCCTTCACGACATGGAAGTTGAAGCTGTACACTCCTCTCCGTGGAGCTACAAAGACGCTACTCTCCTGGTCAAAGTGGGTGCCAACATTGACTAAGATCTGAGGGGATTTATCGAAGAAAAACCAGGCAGAATAGTTTATGTTAGCAGGATAAAAGAAACCCAGAGAAGAGTTCAGTGCATCTGTGATTGCCTTCTGAAACCTACTATCATACCCGCTCCAAGGTCACTCAAATAACTCTATTTATACAGTTGGAGCTCAGTCTCATTGATTCTCTCTTATACATCTGCAATCTAAAAAAAAGCTTTAAATATGCTGCATAATCTTACAGTTTTGTTGCGGCACACTAAGCCCAAATGTTCAATCTTTACCTCATTATCATTTTTCCTCAGTGCTGGGCTCAGTGGGCTGTAATCATATGTGCATTATTACTGGCAGACGTGGGACAACAAATGCACTCATTTTCTTTCACACATTTCAAACATTAGAACTTCCAGAGTTTCTCATTATGTGTGAAAAATGTGTCCAGAAATGAAACCTTAACAATCCAAGATTTAGTACACATAAAATCACAATTTACACTCAGACCAAGACAATAGCTGGAGGGCTTAATCTTTAATTTAAACTCTGATAAAATAATCTTTAAGCCTGGGGAGAAAAAACACTATACTGTCTAAAAAATATTGTTACCAAGAAGTTTGCAGCTGTCTCTCTCAGGAAACTTGAACAATGCATTTAGAAATTAATATAGACCCGATGAACAGTTTTGTGATGGGTGTCTGACGACCATCAAGCCTAAATCTTTCCCATTTATTTTTCCTTCCTGCTTTGACGTACTCAGCTCATCAACACCAACTTATCAAAAACTTACAAACAAAAAAATAAAACAAAAGAAAATGTACCTACCTGAGCAACATAACACACAGTTGAGGTACCTCTAATAAAACTACCTTTAGAATGGCTTAAATGGTTGGTAAGCAGAGGAAGTCAAATAGAACAAGGAGAACCGCAGGTCAAGTGACTCATTGTTGTTTATAGACACAATGGGAAACAACTCAGGCCAAAGTAAAGTTTTGGTTTTGGGATAAGTCTGTGCTCTGGTCTAATGGTTAATCTTAGTTACATTCAAATTACTCTTTAATTACTCTTCTTTCTTTTCATATTTATTCATTAAGATATATTATTTTGATAAATAATAGATCAAATATTGATCCTGGGGCTGAGCGATTCCATTTAGTCAGCTTTCAGTCAGTTAAGGAGTCAGTTCTGTGTTTCAGACCATTGGCGTTCACAGACTTTTTGAAGGGCAGGAGTGGAAAGAAAAAAGAAAGAAATGTCAATGTAATGGGCCCTTAAGCAATGTCCTGTATTTGTTCTACCCAGCCACTGAACCAGGTGAGTCCAATCTGCACAATGATTTATATTGTGCAGATTGGACTCACCTGGTTCAGTAGCTAGGTAGAACAAATACTTTAGCATGTGCTTTGATTCCAAGAGGGTAGTTTAGCAAGCATTTGGCTCCAAATGGGGGGCATTAACACGTGATTTTGCTCCCAAGAATGAGTTTAGAACAAATTTTGGCTCCCGAGGGGCACTGTAGAATTTGCTTTCACTCCAAGATGGCAGTTAAGCAAGCATTTGGCTCCAAACGGGGGGCATTAACACGTGATTTAGCTCCCAAGAATGAGTTTAGAACATATTTTGGCTCCCGAGTGGGCATTTGAGGGCAGTTTAGTACATGTTTTGGCTCCCAAGGGGGACTTTAGCACACATTTTGGCTCCAGAGAGGGAGTTTAGAAGGATTTTGGCTCCCAAGAGGGCAGTTTAGCACAAGTATTGGCTCCCAAGAGGGCACTTTAGAATGTGCAGTGGCTGGGTAGAACAAATACGTGGCATGGAGATGACTTGTTGAATCCCTATCTCCCACTTCTGGCACTTTAGCATGTGCTTTGATTCCAAGAGGTTAGCTTAGCACGCATTTTGGCTCCCAAGGGGAACTGTAGAATTTGCTTTCACTCCAAGATTGCAGTTAAGCAAGGATTTGGCTCCAGAGGGGGTGCATTAACACGTGATTTCGCTCCCAAGAACGAGTTTAGAACAAATTTTGGCTCCCGAGTGGGCGTTTGAGGGCAGTTTATCACGTGTTTTAGCTTCCAAGAGGCCAGTTTAGCACAAGTATTGGCTCCCAGAAGGGGGCACTTTAGAATGTGCTTGGCTGCTTCACAGAGGTGGGAGATGTGGAGCCATCAAGTGAGCAACATTTCATGTATTTATTCTACCCAGCCACTGAACCAGGTGGGTCAAATCTGCACCATTAATTAAATTGTGCAGATTGGACTTACTTGGTTCAGTGGCTGGGTAGAACAAATACGTGGCATAGAGATTACTTGTTGAATCCCTATCTCCCACCTCTGGCACTTTGGCATGTGCTATGATTCCAAGAGGTTAGTTTAGCATGTGTTTTGGCTCCCAAGGGGCACTGTAGAATTTGCTTTTTGTCTCCAGGTGCATTAATATGTGATTTGGCTCCCAAGAAGGTGTTTAGAACAAATTTTGGCTCCAAAGTGGGCATTTGAGGGCAGTTAAGCGCGCCTTTTGCTGCCCAAGGGCACTTTGGCACATGTTTTAGCTCCAGAGAGGGAGTTTAGCAGCATTTTGGGCAGTCTAGCTTATGTTTTGACTCTTAGAGGGCACTTTAGCACTCAATTTTAACCTATAGTGAGGGGCATCCATCTCCTCTGCCCCCGCCCCCCTGTGCATGCCACTGTTTTTGACATTACTACATTGACATAACTTTGATATATAAATGATGCCCTTTTTCACACGTTTTTTAATGCTACTCACATTATCGAAGTAGATGATCATGGTGCGGTTGCTCATGTCTGTTGGCTCATGATTGGTCTGCCGGCTGGCTGAGAAGGCCACTCGTCCTGAGCCAGAGCGGACAGACATACCCAGAGCACTTCCAGCGGGCTCGGATGAAGGAGTGGAGTCACACACCACCAAGCATTTCCCCTCCAGGATGATGGGCTCTGTGTCATTCTGGGCAAGGGTTTCCATAGGTACCCAGAGCAGCAGCAGGAGCAGCAGCAGACTCGACAAAATCAGGTCAAAGCGGATGGTCCAAAGGGGCATGACTGAACCTGAAATGTTTAGGAAAATAGTTCCTTTATCACAACAGTGCCTGGAAGTAACTTCTGAGCAATCTGAGCGTTTAGGAAACACGGAACAGAGCAAACGTCAAAGTCTTGTCAACATCATCTATAGGGAACGTGACAGAAAAGCTCTTTTCTTTCCATCAGCAAAAAATAAAATAAGACAGACAAGATGCAGAGATGAATGTGGGAAGAGGATGAAAAAGTGATGAGGCAGGATTCTGGAGGAATGACAGGGGGACCCAGAAGGGAGCGAGAAAGAAAGACTAAGAACGGGAACAACTCCACTGAGTGACCATCTGTCTTATACAGAACCCCCTCCCTCCCTCATGCATCCTCAGCACACACACACCTTCACAACACCCCTGTCTCAGCATATGCTATAGATGTACGTACAAACAGGAGTTGGTCAGCCTAGAATCCTCCTCTGTTCTTCTGACTGGCTTAAATTAAACACTGAAAAACTCTCAACTAAAAGCTGTAACCATGTCTTTCTTTGCTTTAAAACTACGTATCATTCCATAGGATTACAAAGGAGAACTATTCCAACAAAAGATGGGATGAAAAAATAAAATCAAAGTGATCACCTGTTTTCAGCTGAAGAGGCTTGTGTCCCATATCAGGCAAACGCTGCTTGATCCGTCCAACTGAAGAAAGGCGTAGCAGAAAAGACCCTTGTTTTCCAGCTCTTTCTGTCACATTATCTCCCGGGGCTCCAAGTCGAGCTGATTGCAGCCGATTCAGAGTATCCTCTGATCCCAGTCTGAATCTCTCTCTCCCTGTCTGTTTGTCTTCCCTTCTCAGCCACCCCCTCTCTTCATCTTCCTCTTCTTACTCACCCTCTACCTTGAACCCACCCACTCATACTAATAAGGAAATAAAGAACGGTGCAAAGCTTCCAACGGCAACGTTATCAACTAAATGGAAGCTGGTTTTATTTTTCGGAAGCTGGTTTTATAAGTGAAGCCCAAACTAATTGAAGGTCGGCTAAAAATGAAAATTGTAGTTCTCAAAGTTAATATAAAACCATTTTTAGCAACTAAAAAAAACAAATCATTTCAATTAATCAGTAATAACTGTTTGGTTTTGTTATTTTACAAAACACAGTGCTGTAAAGGAGACATAAAAAGGCTGGATATCTATCTATCTATCTATCTATCTATCTATCTATCTATCTATCTATCTATCTATCTATCTATCTATCTATCTATCTATCTATCT